GGAGGTGGGCCTTCAGAAAGGCCAGCTTACCTCCTTCCATGTCTCTCCAGTCAATCACTCACTCACAAATACCTCGCCGCTCAATCGAGTCACTGATGAAAGTCAATTGTTGACGGCAATATATACTAACACAACAATGCGGACATCTATGACGTAATAATTAGTAAAGAACTGGAGTTCAATAAGGTTTATTCAGGCAATTATACTGCATGATTATTATGTAACTTCATACCCCCTGATAGTCTGGATGTGTCGCTATCCTTACTACCCTTGCACCAGACAGCATGGGGAAATCATGATCTTGAAACTGCTGCGCCACAGTCCAGGGAATAAGATCACCTGATGCTCTTTTACCTCTTGACAAGCCAACCGCTACAGAGTTCTTAGACACCTAACCTAACCTAACCTAATTAACGGTAAAATATATGTCGCATCACAAAGACCTGTAATGTAACAACAATAACAGGAGCACCACGGTTTTATATAAGTACCGTCAATTAAAATAAATGCGGGCAGTGTTCAAGAAAACATCCAAATTCTTTCACTACATTCAATACACCAAGATCAAGAAATCTACTCTAGTAACAGACTATCTCTTGTGTCTTACCATGTCCTAGTAGTATTTATTCTCCTAAACTCAGAGTGGCACAACTGTTTCAATAATTAACAATAAAATTTAATATGGTGTTTAATTGACAAAATCATATTTTAATAAAAACAGAAACAGAAACCTTTATGTAACATGCTCTATTGTAGTTTCTTTACATTATCCTGCATTCTTTCCCCTGATATGAAATTCTTCAGTAATACATTTTCCTCTACATAGTGATCAGATTGTAATGTCCATTAGTACTTGTTTTCCTCACTACTGTGTTTTACATAGCAAGGTAAAGAAAATCGCCACGTAAAAACTGATGGTTTTATCCAAATGAAGTTTAAATATTTAGTTCTAGGAAAATATTGTACAATTGTATTTTACTTGAAAGGCATTCTTAACTAGTTATTACTTTGTATAATGGTCATTATTACAACAGAAGATTGTGCATTCCATTTAATATTTGTTTTCTGTATTTAATAATTCAGTATCTTACATGAATAACTATAAGAACTTCTGGTAAAGATTTCTGATTTGGATCAACTGGCCCATGCAAACAAAATAAATGATATAACATAAATAATAACGTATGTCAAATAAATAAATGCTGTATGTAGTGAATAACCTAGCCTGAGACCCTGAAATCTGGATAATGAACATTCGCGTTCCATAAAAGCGGGTAATTTTCTGTCCAGTTGAGAGCCATTTACATTCTTAGGATCTCTGTTCCAAACGAAGTGGATTAGCAAACAAAATAAGTTCCAGGAAAACAAGCGATGCAGAATCATAGATAAACATTCCGAGTCTTATCTTTCTGAATCGGTCTGCCTGAATTAAGGCAATGCTCCGCTGCTTTCTAGAGCTTCTGGCGTTACTCAACCGTGATACTTCGGCAACTTCTCCGGCACAGCTGCAAGGCGGGTCGGTGAATATGCAGGCGACGATCCTATGAAGATGTGTGACAAAGAGGTGCTCTGTTAAAGCGGCAAGGGATAGCTAAAAGTGTAAATAACGGACACACAAATTCCAGATTATCACAGCGTAATGGCATGCGATTACTTGACGTGTATGCGAATATTAATTAACAAACATTTTCTTTAACCCACTTCCTTTTTCTAATTTGGGGTCAGATGCGGTAATGAAATGTATCTGATTATTTGTCAGTTGTAGGAAATCTTAGTCAACAGACTTACGAGCAAAGGGACTTCATATAGCAGGTACTGCATGTTTCAAAAAGTAAAGTAAAGCTATCCCACTATACGCCATGTAGGCTTTTGGGGAGGGAGGAGGTTTTGCTTCTACTCCTCGGCACTAGATAGGGGCGAGTGGTCAGCGTCACGCCCCGGCCGCGCTTTACTCCCAGGAAAGTACCCTGGTACCCGCTGGATAGGAGGCTGGGTGGACTCCAGAGCCGCTCCACAAAAGCCAGTGAAAAGACTTTTTCTTCAGATTGAACCACCCCATGGAAATACGCAAGGCTTCGTCGATTATAAATCTTCATCCATATCTGGTGCACATAATGCACGAAGTCAAGGAAATATGTGAAAAAACTACTTCAGTACTGCATATAGTTTACACACTTCATTCGAAGAATTCACACATCGTTTAGAAGAAATTGGATTTATGGTTCTCAAAGGCGGAGAGGTTAAAGATGGCTGTCTTTTGGGTGCCTGCTACCACTATTATCAGGGCGACGAGTTATCGCCCTGATGAGGCAGCAAGGACACCTGAAACGTTGGTAAACTTTAACCAGACTACACAGCGCTACAACCAGAAGACAGCCATACGCAAACGTCACGCTTCACCAGGTTCTTTCAGACAAGAGGAAAAGAGGGTGAACGCGGTGGATGTTTCCAACGCTTGATATTTTTTTTTTTGATGTAACAAGAATGGCTCTGTAGAAAACATAACAGTGATTACTCTCCGAAGTCCATTGAACAAATATAATAAGTCAGTATTCGTGTGCACAGCGAAACTAACTTTTTTTAGTTTTCCGGAATTTGTTCTTTGACGTGTATGAATAGCACCAATGACGTCAGATTTTTTCTGGGGTCAATGACAGATGCCGTCATATCTGTGAAGAGCAGATTAGATTACCCGGTAGAGGCTGCATTCTTACCAGTGGCAAGATAGCGACGGACTGTTCTGAGGACTTCTCAGTCTGAACAAGAATTTCTTGCCAGCTCGATATATCAGGGCCGTCCAGTCCACTAACTCCGAAAATGCAAGTTGTGCATTAATGCCAACATCACTGCCATCTGACCAGTGTCTTAACATTTTGTTCGTGTGCCAATTCTCTTGCTTATTCAGCTTTACGTAGTCCGTCTACGATGTGTTCTGACGCCTTATCTCGACTACCAGATTGTTAGTGTAGACTCGCAATTATGGGCTATAGCAGAAAACTGTACTCTTAAAGACTCTGTTATCCTGTGAGATCGAAACAATTTTCTTTCTTTTCGAATATTTAAAGTTTAAAAGTTCTACTGTGAATTAATATACGAATTGTCTTTCTTTTAAAATATCACGAAAAGTACTAGCTTAAAACATGACACTTACATAGAAATTTCTCGACAAAATGCAAAATTTCATGCATGAAGCACAGACCGCAATATTTTGCTAATTTATTGTTTAAACTGTTTTATAAGAGGGACCTTATTCAGATGTACGCTAACTCAATTATATCCTCCGTATTTTGTTCCAGCACGTAACTGTCAACAGCTTTCGATTTCTAGGTCAACATAAGGATTGCGAAACAAGGCAACTGCTGCCAATTTCGTGACAAGACTAAATCACCTTCAACTGTTATTTAATATCCCCGAAGCACTATGACTATATGACTATCAAACATGTAGTAAATGTATTCGCGGTAGGCGATTTTATAGGACTGAAAGTTACGCTGGAAAATCTGTGGTGTGCATGCACTTTGATTCTTGTAATAGAAACATGCGTGACGTCACAGTCAGTGTCTCCCGCTGGCTGTGGTTGCATGATTATGACCTGAGCTAAAAACATCTACCACTCGCTTGTAGTTCCTGATCCCTGTTCTGCAATTCTATGATCTCATGTTTCTCAGTCACCGTCAGAAAAAAAAATCGGTTCCTGCGAGAGGTCACTAAGACATTTAGCAATCACGATACTTGCCACATTGCGAATTGAATTTCTTTCTGCAGTAATAGTGGGACAGACCGCAGTACGCATGCGTAGTACTATTCCACCCTTGCGTGAGATGGGAATATTTCGTGCTTTACAAGCAACTTTTTTAAAGTTTTATATAGCTGTTTAAAAGAGTTTCACGTGTTTTACAGATGTTAGTAGAGAAAATGGATTCTAAGTCTGTAGCCTGCCGATGTGATTTGCTGTCCGGGAACTGTGTGGTGGTAACTAATTTTCTGATACAAGAAAGCACGCTTTCCTACGTCTTATAGCTAATTATTTTTCTTCATTGCAAAGACTTACTGCCAAAGTTTTGTATTTTCCTAAAATATTTTACCGTGCATTGTATATCCCTACCGCAAGTTGCGATAGCGTCGACCCCACGCACAAGTTTGTCTGTCCGCCGTGGTATTACCGACTACACAAAATTGGAAAGCACGATGCTAGGGTAATCCCCAGTAGCATAAGGTCCACACCAAATTTAATCCAAATCCGTGCAGATATTATCGAGTTAAATCGTGCAGACAGACAGACGGACGGACAAAGAGACATGACCAACCTTACATGCATTAATTTTATGAACATCGTAATAAGCAGTGTTGGTTGGACATCACTTGCTGTTACTGAGGGATTTGAGGTTATGTGTGATAGTTCTTATAAATATGTGATGTCTTAACCGTTGCCATGGTACTATATTATAAGATATTTGGGTTTTACGTGATAATATTGTAGCCATTGCCATGGTAATGCTGTTAAAGGCTCACTATGTACATTTATTACAACCTTGAAAAATATTAATTAGAAGATAATAATATTAAGTTTTTGCTCACATCAGTTAATTTTAATTTTTTACGTAATAAAGGATTATTGACTCATCAATGGCCTTCTATGTACAGTACAGCTACTTCTATACAGAGCAGCAAAACAGATGTTTAAGTGAACGCTTTGCAGCGTCGTGATTAAGCAAACATTTTTATGATTTTAATTTTTGTACGTTGCTTTGTTACACTACTCAATAAAATGTGTTTTGTAAGTACTGCATCAAATTTTCCAGTCTTTCTTGACGGGAAATTTTCAAGTAATTATATACACTTCTTTGCGAAAAACCATTTCGATTTCCATCTACTAGCTTTTCATTAATTCTTTCATATTCGACGAAGAGCGTGTTGCATCGGTCAACTGTTCATACAGGAGAGAGTGAGCTGTGAGAGAAGTCAGACGTGGCTGGTGAATAATTTGGACAGCCTTGTGGTCGTTACAGAGCAACATATGGGCTGAGTTTTGGGCCAAGGCGAATGGAGTAATGATACAGTGGCCCATAGCTGAAGGCTAAATGGCGCCGAATCGGAACTAGTGTTTACTGTCCATGAATGGAAATAGTTCAGGAGATGAGTCATGCTGTCTGATGGTGTCAGCATCACAAATCGATGTTTATTCTGCACAGTGTATTCAGAAAAATGCGACACAGAACTTAAGAACTTACCACCGCAACAAATAATTACACTTATTGGTAGTTTGTAGAGGGTTGTTTGGCCTGTTTGATTGTGCTGCCCTCCTCATTTGCAGTCAGTTGTTTCAGTCTAGTGATTTTGACATGTAGCTTGCTTGTTCCTCAGACACATTCCTCTCCTCTGCACATTGCCGTGGGTAAGATCTGTCGTGTCAAATACAGGCTGCTCTGTGTTTCACGTGCCGTACCCTGCACCAACGCCACGTAACATTATCGTCATTATCTTTTTCAAGGATTAGGTTAACGGTCTGTTGGGTCACCATTATAATCTCGTTTGGTCAATCCATCTGTTCCATCTGTGCATGAAAGTGACTGAAAGCAGCAGATGTTGCGCATTACAACTTTCGCTTTTTTCCATATAAGGCTTCCTTATAGTTTTCCAAAGACGTATTGGCCGAAGTCCCAGCGGGTTGAACACCACAACAGCAGTAATATTAATAACAACGTCTAGAGTTCGGTCTCTCGACCTGTTCTGGCAAATCTTGTAGTTGACGTGTCCACATGTGAAAGAGTATGTTAAATTCTTTCTCTCTTTCGGTTTGTGTATTAGAATGAAACGTGTTGCTCTAACATGCAGTGTTTCATCTTAACCATAGGATTTCCTATTGGACAAACTGAAAAAAAAGAGATTTGATGATCTAACGGCGGCAGAGATATCGATTGTGGTCTTTTGGGTTGACGAGCTATGTTACTAGATGTGTGTATGTGGTTGCCAAAATTTCGGAGGAGTATGTCGCCTTCATCTTCAGTGTTTATTCTTTAACAATTAGTAACCACCTTAAGACCACACGGCGACACAACCCAGAAAATACTCGTTCAATAATGACGCTGAAGGAAAGAGACAGCTTAGAAGATCTAGAAAGTAAGGAAATTATTAGGGCCCAGTCGTGAGTTATTGTGAACATGGTAATAAACTTTCAGTTTCCATGAAAGGCCACGAAATTACTGGCTAGCTGAGCAGTTTCTCAAGAAGGAAATTGCTCTATGGAGTTGGTAAACCCGGTCACTGTTGGTAGATGCAGAATTTTAAACATTTATTTGGTAACGTCAATTGATAAGTGGAATACTTGCATTCTGAAATATTCTGTTCACAGAAAATAACTCAGTCGTGGTTATCTTGAGTTTTTGAGTGAACCACAACATTTAGACGCTCCGTGCGACTTCGTGCGTCATATGTTATTTTATCAAACAGCAATCGAAATGTCGATACCTGAAAGTCGTTTCATGTGAAAATGATGTTGATGTTGATGACTGTTATAAGGACGAAGAGGGTGAAATGAAACTATTATTTTGTTAATAACTCAATAATTACGTATAATATAAAATAAATTGTAAATTCAAGACCATATTATTACACTGTAAATACTAAGTACAATTTTATATATCCTTTCTCCAGCGAAAGTTTAATAAACCTTGGAGTCGCTACTACTGACTATCTTTATTGTGCAATTGTGTGACTCATTAAGCCATATGGACAGCAAACGACGAATCAGTCTCTGAATAATATTTCTCAAGTCCTTTCATTTTGTGTTCTCGTAACAGAACAAACGAATTTACGGATGACTGATTTAAATTGCAGAACCCGCGATATGGTCTATTGGCGGATTATTGTGAACGCGGTAATGGACTGTCGGGTTCCATAAAAATGCTGTAAATTATTTGATTTGCTTTGTAAGGACTCTGCTCCAACACCCACGTGCTGGAAACAACTATTGTGCAGAACGTTAAATATTTAGCGGTAATGGAAGTCAATAAGGCAAGTACACCTTGCATTTTCCAATAAATCTGTTCAGGTCTATGGAATTATGACCAAATATTGTGATTTAGATGCAGATAAACATTCGTAATGTATGAATTTTGGCAGTAAAATTTAAGCAGTGTAGTCTGAATACTTATTTTTAGGGTGTAAAACGAGATATTCCACAGTTGTGTTCTCTTCAAGAGACTCGAAATTTGTAAGGGGACGTGAAACTAGAAGTTGAGTGCCTTGATACGCGTCATCTGTCTAGCCTTTCGTCCATTTTTGCTCTCATTCTATTGATCATTAAAATCTTGGCCTATCGTCCAATTTTTTGTTTTGTATGACAAACGTGACAGAATATGATTATGGTATGGAGTGTCTGAAGCCTTGCGAGTTTCTTTGTTCACGTCGTTAAATACCTAAACATTTTTAAAAAATACATACAAGTTATATTTCTAAATATGATATATGATGAAGTTTTTCGTGATTTGCTGAGTTACTAGGGTTAATGGCTGGGATAGTAAATTAAAATTAAGCCGTAATGTGTATGAAATATTGTTTGTAAATTAACGATTAAAACACGATGGCGGAATATATGTGTAAACAATAAGTTGTTAGTAAAAATATAATGAGCTGAGTGGTAATAATATTCTGTAACATGTTTAAATTGCAAGCAGTAATAAAATAAATGTGACCTGGGTGGAATTCGATCATTAGAGCGTTTGTGCACGAACCCAGAACGTTAATTCATGGGCTAACATTGCAGTTCACTAGCAAATTATGAAGTCCCGTTGATTACATATAGCATTCACAACACAAGATCTTCATAACTAGAAATTATGTTTTATGAGTTCGTACCAGAATTCACAATTTAAAAGTATTATTATTATTTTATTATTGCTATTATGATTATGATTATCATCATCGGACCTTTTGGAACACATCTCATGGTCGGATGAAACAGCATTCTCACGCGAAGTTCACTGGGGCATTAATGTGTGGGCAAATATATTCGGCAATTGGCCCTACTTATTTTCTGTTTTGAGCTGTATTTGTTCTGCACATTAATTTGTGCTAATGTTCTTACCTGTGCTATGTGGAGCCCTGAAACCACAGCTGCTTCTGTCTGCCATTTGTCATTGTCTGTATACAACCATCGACACAATTATCACTTTTTATAATAGGTATCTATAAGCTGCTAATAGACGAAGTTAAGAGCACTCATTATTCTTACCTGATTCATCCAGCTCTTCTGTAAGGCCGAGCTGACATCATCAGTTGTAATCGGCCTTTGCATTATCTGAGCACGAAGTATTGAGAATGCGTATTTCATGCATCGAGAGCAATCACATGTTTTCACTGTAGGCCTAGAAAGTATTTTGTTCTGTGCGCAGATGCAATGAACAGGCCGAATTCAGGGACAGGATACTCAATGAAGGATTGTGACGTAGGTTATCTTTCGTTCTGCCTTTTATTTATTCGCTCATTCCACCGTTTTCTCTATTTTGTCTTTCCTTTTTACCACTAATCTTAATTACCGTAAGTAACTTCAGAAGTTATTGCAGCGTATTTCAACAATACAAGGCGAACATCTACTTACGAACTCTCAAGAAACGAACATTGCACGGACTAATAAATTTCGATTTCCAATTCATTTAACGAACACAAAACCCCGCACGTACGAACATTTTACGATGCGCGAAGTTCAAATTTAACAATATATCCTATGGAAAAAATAAATTTGACTTTCGAACATTCAACTTACAAACACATTTCAAAGAACACATTATGTTCGTAAGTTGGGGTTCGCCTGAACTGGAAACGTTAAAGATGCAACAGAATACGTAGACTTTAAATACGCTTTTTTGTTGTAAATTTTGGATTGTGGATACTCCAGTTGAAGTAAAAAAAGGTGATGTCTCTCATATACATAATATGCAAACGTTACAAGCAGTATCATCCACGTAAGGATAGCAACATAAAACACATGAGTCAGTATAAGTTTTATTCTTCTTCTTACTAACAAAGGAAAGGATCGAATTACAGTCTAAATGTACTTTTCACAGGTTTTACCGATATAAAAGAACTTGCGTTTTAAAAGTCTTTTTTCCCCTATCTACCGATTGAATTGTTTATCGGAAACTGATGAAAGATAATCACACGTTCAGAAGGCAATGGTATTGTATTCCAAACTGATAAATAAATGCGTTTTTAAGCGTGGGATGTAGGTTGAAAGTCCCTTAATCTATAAATTCTAACGACAGTTTTTTTTCTTAAAGATTATGCCAGTTATGTTACTTTGATAACTTTTGTTTCTAACTATACGAATCACGTATTCATATAAATGAACACAGACCTAACAATTCAAGTTAGCTCCGAGATATCGAAGTGGACACGTACGCATGTGGTCATGGGACTGAATCATGGCCAAGTAAAATGTATTCTTTGTTTCACGCAACTGCCATGCTGTTGTTTCACATGGGACCTACATAAAGAACCACTATAACAAAGTTAGCATTTTTCAAAAAATTATTACCGTGCATTGTTGCGTTAACATACTGAAAGTGGCGCTATTGTCGATTCCACTTCAGAAGTTCTTTTGTAGGCCATGTTGGTATTAATAACTTACGATTTTCGGGTAGACCTCACGGACATCACGTCTGCACCAAATTTTATTAAAATCAATCCATCTCTTCTCGAGTTGGACAAACAGACATGGTGACCCCTTTCAGTATCCATCGTGAAGATAACTGATAATAACCTTTCAGTGGTTGGATGAAACGAAACTTTAAACATGATTTATATCGGCATCGGAAATAAAACAGAGCCTGGTTTTGCGATACACTCTAGGCTTGTGCCATAGAGGTATAGGTTCGAATCTCGGCGTATTACCGGATATTCTGATGAGGTTTCTAGACATTCCCTGAGTATCTCTAGGCCATTGTTCCGCAACTTTGTTTCACACGCGGCACACCGCGATTTGTCAAAGGGACATTACGTCACACCATAACATTTCGCCCCACGAAAAGGGATTCGAAAATATACATGACCATAAATATGTATGTAAATCCATGCTCTGTAAGAATGGAGGCATATGAAAATAAATTACACATGTTTGGAGATGAACCAGTGTGTATGTGTCTTACGAATTCTAAATACGTAAAACAAGATGGCGGAACAGCAGATGTAGAACACTGCTCTCGGCAAATGCTCCGAAATAGGCCACGTCTTCTAAATTGTTATCTACTTAGCATTTATTTTGATTCTGTGAACGTAGTCTCTGGAGTTGGAATACTTTTCTTAAAATTCCAACAGAAACAGACGCGAAATTGATGACATAGGTTCTCAACTTGTTTGTTTTGTGCGGCCCGCTATCATTGTTTGAAACAATGTAATATTGTGAAAAACACCTTTCGATGTAGCAACTATACAGCTCAATGAAAGTAAAGTCTATGTCTAGGATGCATCTTATTAATGAACATATGCACGGATGCATGTGAATCACTACAAGAGAAACTAAATATGATAATGAAATATTAATGAAGCAAACGTTTTGTAAAATATTTCGCTAATAAATGGTTTTATTGAAAAACATTAGGCTCTACTGAGCAACTCGTGAATCTGTTAGTATTATGGCGGTTTAAATTTGACCTGAAAATTTTAGCGTGTAAATAATTCGTATTACCTGTTTAATATCAGCCAGTTTTGAAAAGATGAACTTCTTCTACAAATGGGACTACGTGCTAGTCCCATACCTGAACGCTAGAATTTTTAGAATCAGATACAATTTCAAGCCGCCTTTTTAATATTAAGATAGTAAGATTTTTAATAAATTGCCACGAATTTTCGATAAATTGTTCTCAGTTATAACTTTGGGAACCTCGAGTCCTAAGCAAGGGTAAATATAGCCCTAGGTCTCAAAAGGGTTGAGAAATTCTGGCCAATAACGCTACTACCCGCATTTTCACTCGAGTAACAATAAAAAATAGAGCAGGAGCAAGGATTAGTTTAGCAACCCTCATTTACTAATAATTCTGATTATGAAATAACCACGCCTCAGTGACATGACGAAACTTGCGTAACGGATTAACATGCTGAACGCTACTCACAGTTATAGAGAAACGGTGATTACTTTGAGATCGATAAAATTGTTCGATCCAAGTTGGTCTTCCTACGATCCTGAATATATAGGAACTATGAAATGTCTCGGGATAACTGGGTCGTTGGTCTAAACACACTGTTTGACAATGTGTCTTTTTCTAGTCATTTGAGGCAACTAATGCTGCGCTTTTGAACACGATGTGGACTAAGCAGTGCTTGTATTATCCAGCATTATCGAATAGCACTCTTATCGACTGGGCTCCAATGGCAAATTTTAAGAACATCCTAAATAGTAAAAACACCTAAAAACCAATTGAAATATTACATAATTTGTTTTTCATTTTATTTTCAATTAATTTTAATTTGACGATAATATAATTTTCCTTCGAAAAGTAGCCCTATTTGTAAGCCTGGGTAGCTGAGACAGTAAACTTATTATCTAGGGTCTGAACGACTGGGGTGAAATTCCCGGAGGGGTAGTTATTTACACATCACCGTTGTGCAGCTTATGGCCCTTCACCCCTTAGGGGTTCGCCCTATCGCCATGTTGTTATTACTACAGATTACTGAAGTCTTAATTGCTGTACCAAGATTATATACTCTAACATGGCATAATGTTCACAGCACGTTTAATAAAATTAGTCTTCTAATTCCAAAAGTTACCAATAAGGATTCCATTAGTCTGTCTTTATTTTTAAACGAAGATAGGAGACGAGATGGTGTTAACCATGTCAGCACGGCTAACAGTTTTAAAAGCAGAAAATAAAAAAGTTCTGTCTCACTGCCAGTTCAGCGGTACTCTATAAACTAAAACACAACAAAACTGATCAGATAAAATGCACCGTTAGCTATTTGATTGAGGCTGACGTTTGCTGCAAGCGCAGGAATGACTCGAGCTGAGTAACGATATATTTTATCTGATCGGCTTTGCTGTCACATTGTATGAAGTACCACTGAACCACGGAAGTGAGACTTTTAAAAATTCGTCTTTCAAAGTGTTAGCCGGGTTAACGCGGTTAACATGAACTCTTCGCCTCTGGTGCCCATCGCCTGTAAGTTATCATCGTCAACGTACGCTTTGAGATATTTGTTCAGTTTATCTGTTTGATAAATTTTCATCTGAAAAGTGACCGTATGTTATCCTGTTTTCTGTACAGTTAAGAAATGGTCGGCGCTACGTTGATACGACGACTGGAGTGTTTCAGTATGAGTCATTTCAACTGCAATGAACGACCTTTCCACACTAACCTACTTTGCTGAGCGATGGATCATGATAATGTGTGGCCACCAGGACAACTAAAATAATATCTTTACCGCAATATAAATTTTAGGAAAAGCAATGGTACAACTTCTGGAAAAGGCGCTTCAGTTCCAATCAAGGGTTTCTTTTATCAAAGTAGAATTTTTTTGAAGATCTGGCTGTAAAATTTATGATACGTGTTGAGGTTCCTTACTTTTAAATGACGCAAAAATGACTCAAATAATGACATCTTATTCTTAATCCACTTTCTTCCCAAGATTGCTGTCTTCTGGGTTGTTGCGCCGTGTTGTCTGGTAGTGGTCCACCATCGTTTCAGAGGTCCTTGCTGCCTCCATCATCAGGGCGATGATTCATGATAGAATCAGTGTTACAAAGTTTATAGTCGTAGATCAATGTATTAGTTTTTCTTGAGAAGGAAATTACTCTCGTTTTACTAATATAGAATTTCATGAAGTCAGCAGATGCACCAACTATGTACAGAATCAATATCAGATTGAAGTCGCTTACAGTCGTTAGATTTTTAATAACACAGAAGATTTTGATATCGTCAGCGAAAATAAGTCATTAATTACATTACATAAGTCATCAATTATTAGGCTGAAAAACAGATTCCTGTGGAAAGCCAGAGAGCACTACAAAAGGCAATGAAAGAGTTTCAGAAATATCAACCTGAGATTGTCTGTTGATTAAGTAACCGGTTTACGTAACCACGAGAAAGTTCCAAAGCGCTGAGCTTTCGGAGTAGTAGGGAATGAGGAACAAGATCAAGACCACTGCTAAGATCAAAATATATGGCTTCAGCTTGACCCTGGGAGCTACGTAATGGGGTAATAAAATCTAGGCAAGTTATCGGATTGGTTGTGGTAGATTTATATTTTGTAGAATCATGCTGACAAGGATTTAGTCTTTAATTATCTTTATAGGCATACGCCTATATATGCCTACACTGGTAGAATAAAATAATATTGCTTTTACAAACTTTGATGGGAAATAGAGCACTTATATGCTTAATAATAATAACGTTACGTAACTTTAGATTTCAAGAACATGCATCTCTGGGATTGCATTTGAACTTCACTTTACGTTAGAAATTGAAACTGAAACATGGATGTGGTGGCAAAGCTGTGAGTAAACATGTTAATTATCTTTCGCCGTTGTAACATAGGAAGAGAACATATATTTGGTTTACCAGATTTTCGTGTTTTGTTTTAATGTTAAATCAAAATTCAACTTTTTTCGAATACCGTCTACATAAGATTACAGAAGTCTACAGCTGTTCAGTAGTTTGTGCTATGTGGCCGTCATTGAAGTGTTTATTGCCACTGTCCTGATGTAGTTTATTGGTCCTTATGAAACGTTATTTCTATAATATG